CTCCTTTATAAGTCTCATGTGTCTGTACCTTTAAGGTGGAAAATGCCTGCTTAAAATAAGGAAACTACAAATAAAAACACTGCAGTGTTCTAGTTCCTATAGTTCCTACTCTTTTGACCTTTATATGTGAAATTTATTGTGGTATTTTGAAATAATTGACCATATGCTTCCTTCTTGCAATACCAGTAATCTGCACTGTGGTCGCTGATGAAATGTGTGCTAACAGTACGGAAGTGCCTGTTTGTGCAAAGATCATCTATTATTTTCCCATGATAACTAGGCAAATTCAGTAGCACAGTGGCTGAAAATATTTCTACGTTAAAGACCAGATGTCTGAAGATACGGAAATGCATAATGGGAAAATCACAGCACCTTGATACCTAACTATCAATTTTAATGGAGTTTTTTATATAAGCATTTTTGAAAAGGTGCTTATTAAGTACCCCTGGAAAACTCTAGGTACCTGAATTTCTCTTAAAAAAAAAATCCTGGCCCATTAAAATTATTCTTTGGCAAGCCCTGTAAAGTGTGTGTTCCATGTTGTCAAGTCATCCTTAAACAGAATGTTATCCAAGGATAGGTTGGTAGTTTTACATCAGAAATTTCTGCTAATAATTTATCAGCTTCTTGTTTGTTTTAAGAGATGTAGCATTTCACTGCAGGTCTGCTTCATCTCTCTTTCTTGTCTGCATGGTGCCAAGTACTGGTTATTCTCGATGGATAAAATCCATGCAAAGGGTCAGAATTTCATATGATCTGGATCCCTGAACTCCCAGAAACGTAAATTAAGTTTAGTTCACAGTAAAGCATCCCAGATAGAGCATACAAAACTATGAATCCATTGTGTACTGGAAGAATAATATTTTACTTTTCCTTTAAAGTTAAATTTCTTTTTGTTTTGAATTCTGATCTCTATCGATTAAAATCTTCCCTTCCCACTTCCCTAATTTGGGAAGCTACTGTAAAATTTCCAGAAGGACTGTTTCTTTGTCTTCTCTCTCTTTCCCCAGTAGATAGGAATACCTTATTTTCCTTGCATTGATAAACAAATCCAGCCATTCTGCCACATTGTACTTGAGGCCTGTCACAGGCTTTGTCCTTACAGCATTAGAAGTAAGAGCCTTGCAAACCTGTCTACTTGGTCTTAAAAATTTCACTTGCACTGCGTGAGAGCCCACCATTTGGCTTTATGAATGCTGTGAATTTCCATGAATGTAAAATTTGTTCAGTGTTCTGCAAGCTAAGCTATTAAATTCTGGAATTGGTAAAGCATGTAGGTCTAAGTTTATTGAAAAGGTTAGAGAAATAAAAATAGTGTAGATAGATATATTTCCTAAATCCGCAAGTTACCTCTGTCTTCCCCATCTGTGATGGTATCCCTAACTTTTCTTCTCCCATTTGTAGAGAAAAGCTGATATTTTATAAGACGTTTATAGTTGGGTGTGTTATGACAGAAAGAGAGTGCTAAGTGTCTTTTTTTCCTCCTTTTCTTCCAAGTGGCTTTCATGGCCTGCAGTTGTCTGCTTGCCATCTTCTAGAAATGCATTTCTAGAATCAGGAGGTGAGAGCTTGGGGTCCCTAATTTTTTGGGGGAGTACATTGCCTCCTACCACCTTTATACTCCTTAGGATATCCATGGAGGGGAGCAAATTGGGAAAGGAAAGGCTTACAGGCTGAATTAGAATGAGCAGTTTTTATTGCCTACTCAGTTTGCAGGTTACTACACGTCAACTGTTTGTTGCCTTCCTTGGAGGGTATACAAAGGCAAGCAAGTGGGTTTCTGAAATTGCAAGCTTCCTGGTTGTTTTTCCTCCTATCTAAAGCCACAAGGAGACCTTGCCTTGTGTCAAGAAAACCGGGTCTGTACACAACCCTTCTCAATATACCGTGTGATGTCCCTGCTCTGGAAGCCTTGCTCGTCAGCCCATGCTGTCCAGTTGAGGCTGGTTGATGAGCAGGGTTTTCTGGACTAAGCTTTTAAAGGAAGGTCAGGACAGCCTCCAGCTCCCATTCTGAGAGCTTCTGCTGTGCTGCCAGCACCTCCTTGGAAGGCCTCCAGAGGCTGTTAAAGGTGAGGAGTTGCTTTGTCAAGGGAGGAGAATGTGAGAGGGTTGAACTGTGGCAGAGTGAGGAAAGGGACCTGTTTTGCTGTAGAAGCAAGACTTGCTAGGTGGAGAAGCTACTTCTTTTAGTGAGGGGTTGATACCATGATGTGAACATCTACTTGGGTAAGAAGTCTCCTGTGAAGAAATGACTGAAATTTAAAGTGCTCTTTGCCAGCTTGCATTAAGAGATGAGTTGTACTACATAAAAACTGATGGATGGAAGGAAGCAGAGTATATAGAGAAGGGGGCAGTTGTTTGCACCTCCAGCTTGTGTGTAGACACATGTAGTTACAGCAGATGTGGATTCAGTTTTAATACTTTGAACCTGAAAGCTGTTTTAAAACAATGTAAGGGCTTCCAGTTAGTGAATCTACTCAGTTGAATTCGTTACTATTTGCTGACCAGGAAACACTTAATATTTCTAAAATACATCTTCTGACTTGTTCTAGTTCCCCTGAATACAGAGCTATGACTTCACTGAGCTGAGGAACTTTTATGTTCTCTGAAACAGTTTATCTTTACAGGTGTGAGGAATGGAGGACTTTGTTCTTTGTCACCTCCTTTGGTAAGCAGTATTGCAGATCTAAAGAAATACAGGGTTTTAAAGATTGCCTGACACCTACTGGTCAGAGGACTTGCAGATTTAGTCTAGGTTTTCCTGCCAGCTCCTTCTCGGAATTAAGCTACCCCCTTTTACCAGGACCCATCAGTAACTGGACAGTTAAACTTCTGCATTTTTTCCTAAAGCGTTTTTGTATCATCGAGAAAGTACAGAGTGTTTTACAAGACATGCTATTTTTCATCAAGTTTAATTTTGAGACTTACTTGGCATCAGCTCTGGAAGCAGTTCTTACATGACAAGAGCCTGGTCTTGATTGGGGGAACTGGGTTTAGGCATCAGCTGCTGTTTACCTGCTGTTGTTTACCTGCTCGGTTGATTTTTGACAAGTCACCTGTCTACTTCTTCCTCCCTTTGGCACCCTTTCGGTCAAAAGCTGCCTTAAAAGTGGACCATCAGTGTACACAGGGCCCTGAATGATTTGATGTTGTCACAAATGCACGTTAATGGTTTAGATTCTCTGCTTAGTTCTAACTGAGATTTTCATGCTGTACTGACATGAAAGACAGATTTTATTTTCAGGACTGAAGCAAACCACATTTTAAGCTTCTGTGCCTATAAATAGCTGTCAAAAATAAGTAGCAGAATGTGTCGCTGTTAACACACATAACCATAATAGCACATAAACATGGCAAAGCTCGCAAAGGGAGTGTTTTCCCTCAGAAAGTTTAAGTGTACTTATTTCCAGCACTTTGGGATTTTATTATTTACAACAATATTACTTGTAGAAGAGTACATATGCAATGAGGATAATGACTAGAAATGTCCACAGTGCTACTCTTGTTGATCCCGTTTTCCCACCGAAGAGTCATTCCACTTCAGGGTGGAGGGAGAAAAACAAGGGGAGAGAAAAAGGAATGTGAAGAGAAAAAATATTAGAAAAGAAGTTTGGAGAAGAAGAAGAAGGGAAGAGGAAAAGGGGAAAAAAAAGTAGTTTTTCAAGCTTCAGACCTTAGCTTTCTTTCTGATTATTCAGAATGAATGAGGATTATAAGCTTCTTTCTATGTTCTTCCCTATCTTCCTCCATTCCCTTTCCCCTGTTTGATTTTTATTAAATTGGCCTCTTTGGTAGCAATTTTGGAAGACAAAAGCTTGTAGTAGGTGGGTAGATGGATCTAGAGCAGAGCAGATTGCTTCTTAGTGCCATCCATTCTTCATTTCATTATTATCAACATTTTCTCCAAAGGATTGCTGACTAACATTGTACTGAAATAAACAGTATCTTTGTTCTATCTTGAATGATAGTAATAAAAATGTTTTCCCTTCTTGGTTTAAAACCTCACTGGTGTGGAAAAAAAAGGATCAAGAGCTTTGCAAAGTTAATTCTGCATATAATAAGTATAAATTGCTCAAGTCCAAATGAATGTACTCGCGTGGTGCTAATTAATCTGGAAGCATCAGGTCTGTTATGATGTCTTTCAACTCTGCTGTGACTACCACTACTACTTTCATAAGAAATATATATAATTATATTTTACATTAATAGTGTTTCTGTTGAGATGTGGAGAGTGGGATCCTGCTAGCTTTTTAAAATGAGGTTATAGTGTTTTGCAGGAGGGTATAAAGCTGAAGAGGGGACAGTCCAGTCCAACAACTCTTCTCCCCGTGCAACTACAGGGGATATCAGCAGTCCTGCTGTGATGGTTTTGTAAAAGGTTGGAAGCCTGGGTAAGAAAGCAGAGTTGAAAGAGATGTACAACTCATCTGATCAGCGCACTGCCAGTGACAGCAGAGAGCTGTACGCATCCTCCATACGTTCTAGCTCTTTTTCTTTCAATGCTGGAACTCTCTGCTGTGTCTTTAAGATAGCACGGCTTGTCTGCACCATTCCTGTTGTATTGAAGATAAGGCTTAAGAATAGCATAGGGAAATGGTTAGAAATTACTGTTTGCCAAAGCTCATAATCTTATATCATGTTTTATAGTCTTGTGTCTTACAATAACGCTTCCGGTGGCTTCTTTGGGAGCAAAGTCAAAACAGAGAGCTTTTGAAAAATCCCAGCTTATGACTGATGAATGCTGCATATTATACTTGAATGTACTATTTAATTTAGTAGTCTCTTCTTGTGCTAGTGTTGCAGCAGAGTCCTCTGCAGCTGGATGCTGTTTTCTGGGGCAGCTGCTGGAATAAAATAGCTTTCTGTTGTACTGCTTGCTTGAACAGTAACAGCACTAGTTGTGTGTTTCCCTATAAGTGGTTGAAGTTAATATTTCTCTTATTTAGGAGAGCATCAGATGTAGTGTGTTATTTCTGAAATATCTTTTTCCTTCACTACAGGAGACTTCAACTTTGCTAAGACAAAAGTTCCGCAAGTATGACCCCTTCTCAAGTCACTTTTGAAGTAAGAGGACCATCTGTGACAGGTTTGTATGGTAGAACAAGACTAAACAGAAGAATGTTTAAAGGCTTTCCTTTCTATTTTATTAAGGGCAAAGGAACATTCATTTTGATACTTTGACTGACAAGTCATTGTAAAATGCATTAATTAAGACTCTGCATGTGGAAATTTGAAAATCAAGATCAGAGAATGAATTTATTTATGAATTTATTATTTATTGTGTTTTCAAACACCAATTTCAAAGCAAGTTATAGATTTTGATTGTAGCTATGAAGTAGCTATGATTGTTTTAAAATTATTTGGTATCTAATGAGAAGGAATATGCTAGATAGCTGGGCATGCATGGATGTGATGCAGTGACCCCTGTTTAAGCTTTTGATTTGAGAAAAAAAATGTTTTCTGAGCTCTTCAGGATACTTCGTTTTTCTTATTTCTTTCACTATACAATAATATAGTCTGTTATAGTCTAGACTATATAATAGTCTGACACCTTCTTGGTCTAGGGCAAGTCTTGCTGTCTGTGACTGCTTGCTTAAATTTGAGCATGGCAGAAGATAGCATCTAGGGGAAAAAAATCCTGGAAGGCACTTCTTTTTCCCTATTTTCTATTTTCTTTTTCCTTTTTTTAATTCTTTTTTCCCCATAAATGCACCTGCAGATTTCGTATTTGTCATTCTGTACCTTTTTACATTGCTTCTACTGATCAAAGATGTTGATAACTGACATTAGAAACCTAATTTGATGAATCCAAGCATAGACAGTTAATCCTATCATTATACAGAACATCTTGAACAAGATGTTCAGAACATTACTGCATGACTTTATACCTTTATACATGAACATGTTTTATTCTTTATTCTGAAAGAAATTGTTACAGTCCCATTTCTATTGGTAGAGTCAATACCCCAAGTTAGGGGTAATAATAAGGTTATATGAAAAGAAATCTGGCAATTAAATGGCTAAACTATTTGCATAGATGATTTATTTCTGCATTGGCAAGATATGTAGTAGATGGCGGATACTCTTTGAGTAGTCATTTACAAAGCTGCTTAGGGAAGGTATGTTTCTGTTTTCTTCAAGTTAAAAAATGACTGGCTTGTGATGTAAGGCAGTTTTATAGACAGGCCTATTTTGTCTTCTATTTCTGCCTCCCCCCGCCCCTATTTTTATTTAGTTAGTTTTTTCACATGAGTTTTCTGGTATCTTATGGGCTCTGAACACCCACTAAAGGTTTTTCTGTTCAGCAGACCCCAGGTGTACCTTCCTCTTTTTCCACTTATCTATTGTAATTAGCTGGTAGCGTTGAGATTTTGATTTTTTAGCAGCAAATGGATTTAAAAGTCAGTAGGGGCATATATGCGCAGAGGGTATTACTTTATAAGATTAGTTCCTGGAATAAGATAGATGTAGTATTTACTTTTAGAAAAGATAAATTTTTTAGTTATTCAAGTAATGTGACAAATTTTTATAATAAATTTTTAATCTGAAGGCGGAACAGATCATGCAGAACACTAGGATTACAGTTCAAATCTCAGACTTTATTAAAAGCCAAAGGAAACTCTTAAGACAGCCCTGGCTGTTGACGCGTTGCTAACAGGAAAAATAAACCTTGCATATGGTTTCAAGTGCTTGAGAGATCAGATTTATTGATTTTTAATTGTGCTTATTACTTTGACCTTCACCTTTAGGAAATTGAAAGGAAGTTTGCCAAAATTAATTGGCAGCTACCAAACAGAAGCAGCTGAATGCGGGATTATAGCAGGTTGGCAAAGTTCTTGCTACAGACAAATGCTTGTCTGCATAAGTGACCATTGTAGGTAAATAAAATGGAAAAAAAATGCTTTTTGAGAAGTTTTGATGTCTGTACAATACTAGATTTCTGTTTAGTGAAACAAACACTGCTCCTTGGCAAAGGTTATAACCTTCTGGAGCAAGCTTTATAGTTAGAAAGTAAATAGACCTTGGATCAACCGCCGTCTATAGAGCATGTGGCTAGTACAGTTACCCGATTGGAGTTTTGCAAGCCACGCTTTCCTCACCTTATTTCCAGTGTTGTTTCTCCTGTCACCAGCAAAGTTGACTTTGGAGGAGCAGCTTTTTTTTTTTTTTTTTTTTTTTGATGATATCTGCAAATAGGGAAGACTAGTTCAGATTTTGGTGGCTAGTTGTGAAGAATCACTTGGCATATACTTCTGTGATATGAGTGGCATAAGGAGATGACAGGAGGTTGTTTCTGCTGATGACAACATTGGTATTTCTGATGTGTTTGGAAATACTGTGTATATTGTTTTGGGTCAAATTCACCATGGGGAGCAGTTGGGGTATGTGAGGTGAGAAACCTTTTTTGGAGCGCTGAGTGTGCTCGGTTTCCTCATCACTGTCCTTTCTGATTGAGAACAGAGACAGTGGCTCCAGCGGGCAGGGCAAATGAGCATCCCCAGTATGGGAATGGTATTGAACTCCCTCCTTCTGGCCAAATCACTTCTGGGGTCAGCAGCAATTATGAAATTACATCCATTACAAAACTGTGCATGCTGACACCAGCTTTTATATGCTAGTGAGGTGGAGTGCTTCATTTTTTGCCTCATCTTAGCAAAATGAAGAGAATTACAAGCAGTGTCCGTGACTCCCTTAGATCTTCACCGTGGCAGTGAATGTTCATACATTTAGCTGTAACTGTTTTCTTTTTTTAATCTCAAAATGTAACTAAGTGGAGTATAATTTAGAATATACTTCCCTCCTATGATAAAGCTGTCTTTGAGCTACAGTACAAACAGGAAAAAGTAAATCACGCAATCTGGGCATTTATGTACAATGAATTGCATAGTGAGTATATTTGTACAACTAAATTTTGTCTGTGTTTGTATGCTTACAGTGAATATCCAAAAAGCTTTTTTTTTTTCAGATGAAACAAGTGATTTTGCAGAAGCAGATTGTAGTACAAGATGTTCTCAGCAGAGACAGTAAACTGTTTTTAGGATCAAATAATCTTTATGTCTTCCGCAGTGTTATGAATTCCGTGTGTCTCTTGGGTCTCTTTTTTTTTTCCCCCTCATAACAAAACCTTGTGTCAATCCTTTATTAGATTAACCTGTATAGCTGGAAAAAGCAGACACAGTTTTAGAAGCATAAACATTTCCTTGGGACTATTTCTTTCAAATTTGAAGTTGAATTTGGCTTAGTAAAAGGTAGTGCATTTTGGTAGGTTGTTCACTGTTTTTGTGTCTTTGTGAGACACCATTACATTAACAGTTTGAGAATATGAAATTACTATTGGATACACTGGTTTTTATTAGTTTTGTTTCTGAAGCAAAAAGAGTGGGCTTGAGTGGGTAGCTCTGAGTATTTAGACTGAATTTATTAATTCCATATGGTCTTGAATACTAATGATCATGGGTTTTTTTGTCTTTTTTTTTTTTTTAGGAGAGGTTTTTGCAATATGTGGGAACTGCAATGCTTTGGGGAATTGGAATCCACAGGTTGCAGTAATCCTTCAAAATGTTGATGGGTAAGTGTTGTGTGTTTTGGGTTTGTCCTTTTTTTTGTTTGTTTCTTTCCTCTTCTCTTTGAAGTAGCTACAGTTTTGGAGAAATTTATCTTTTGAGCTTTTAACTGTTAAACCTCACCTACTGTTAGTAAAACTCTGTAGAACTTAATTTTCTTGCCCTAAAACCCATAATTTCAGATGTGTTTTTCTAGTTATGAATGATGCTTTGACCATTGTGGGTGGCATATTCAGTCAATACTTTGAATTAGAAGCTGCTGTGGAAAGAAGAGTTATGGATAATTCAAAGGAGACACCCGCAGCTCAAGCTGCATTATGCAGAGCTGCTCCCCTTCCCCTCTCTTTCCTCGTTTAAAGCACTCTTTGCCCGGCTGTTGTGCTTGCTGGCAGACACACATGCTCTGCTTCATGAGGTAGATCCCATCTCCCCCCATCAGTCCTCAGATAGGGTCCCATGGTCGTAGGAACCAAAACTCTGCTGCCGACACCAGCAGCTCAGCCAGTCGTTAACCTGGAAAATCCCCTTCCATCCTTCCCGCTCACTGGCAGCATTGAAGACAAAATGGCCTGGGCTCCTAGACCCTTTACAGCCATCCCTAAAACTCTGAAATCCTGTTTTATGGTTTCTAGATTCCCCTTAATGTCATTAATGGCCACATGGAAGAGCAGCAGAGGGGAATAGCCTGAAGCTTGTCATGGAGAGACTGCCAGGGCTCGTCCAGCTGATACTGAATGCCTGACAGACACCAAACCTCTCTGGACAAGGGATGAGTTGGGCAGATCTGTGCCCCTGTCCCCTGCAGTAGGGAGTCATTAACAGCAATCATATTCCAGCATTGTTGCCTGCTACTTTTCAGTCTGTTTCTAGAACAGATTGTTCTACTGGCTTAAAAGCTGCAAAGTGTTTGTAACTGACAAAAGTATTTAGATGAGAAAATCATATTAAAAAAAAAAAAGTGTGTGTCTCTTAAAATCTTTCTTTTTTTTTTTGATAGCAGAGCTGTTAGTCTAAAATCATTTTTAGAACTTTGGATAAAACTTCAGAAAGCTTTATATTAATTTTTTAAAACTGTTTTTCCACAGCGTATGGAAAACAACTGTAAAGCTTCCTAGAGGAGTTCCTGTTCAGTATCGATATTTTAAAGGGTACTTCTTAAAACCTAAGGTATGTATGGCCATTTTTGTTTTAAGTTGGTTCATGTTCAGTGAAAAAGTTCTTCATGTTTGAATCAGAGAAGTCTTTACATCAGTTTTTAGAAAGAAATCTTAAATTATAACATAGGAAACATTAAAATGCTTATCAAAATATAGACATTATTTTCAGAAATGCATGACAATCCACTGTTAACTAATTACTGCAGTCAAGTTGCGTTCTAACTTTTAACAGTGTGACTTTTTATAAAAAAAATCCAGTGGAAATGTCTGATTATAAAGCTTAAATAATATGGGGAAATGATCACTTGTTATAGCAGCACTGTAACAACTTACAGACTAACAATTAAATACGGACATAACTAAAGCAAGTATTTCTAGCATGTAGGCAAATAATAGCAGGATAAAAGTGGTTAATTTGAGCAGTTTTTCTTAAATTCTGACTTAAAAGTTACAGTCTATTTTTTTGATCATTGCAGATGTTTTTGGTAAGAAATCAGAAGTACTGACTGGGTTTTGTCCTGTATAGCTAATGCATGTTAACCTCTTCCAGTGAAACTTAGATTCGTGCATCTTGGTGTTTTCTCTAGGTTTGTGTGTAGGCATTTGCTTAATTAAAAAGAAAAACAGAGGAAAACACAGACTTTTAAAAAACTCATTCATATCAAATTTGCATGCGAGTTGAATGTACGTGTCAATATACTGATTAGTGTATGAGGGGAAATCAGATTAGGGATGAGATGGACGGCATCATAAAGGTGTTGGACTAACTGGGGAACAGGAGTAGCTGCTCTTTAGCTATTTGTCTTACTAACCAGCAATACCTGCAGAAATCAAACTTTCCAAGTTATATTTGCTGTCTTTTATTGCTTCTGTTAATTTCCTGTAGCTGTCCACTTTGGGCTTTAATTTTTCATTGAAATAAGAATTATGATGACTGTAAGTAAATGTATAAAGCATTGCAGAATCTTGTGCTCTACATCTTTTAAGTATTTTAAATTATCATCAAGAGTATGCAAGCCCTTAACAGCTGGACTAGCTTTTCTTTCACTAAAAATATTTGACAGAGGTTCCATGAAAAAATCTTAGTGAAAGACACTAATTTGAAATGAAATACAAGAGGCTTTACCCTGTTTATTTTTTATTATTATTATTATTTCAACATTTGAAATAGTCTAATCATAAACTGTCATTTAAATTATTATTCTGGAGCCAAAAAAAAGGGAAGGCAATTTTTTTTTTTGAGGTCATATTGCAGTCAGAAGTAGGTCCATTAAGTGTATCACTCTGATGGGACCTTTTATTTCTGGCAAATGTCCATAAGTTTAAAATTTATGGCAGTAGGCCTACGTAGGTATGCAGTAAGCAGTAACTTGCTAGAAAAAGCACACTTAATGAGAACAAATTGGCAAAAATGTGCTCTTAGACAACACAAGTTTCCATTTTAACATTTGCAAAAGCTTACAACGTGTGTTGGTGAGTGTGTTTCTTTAAGTAGGTGCTCTGTATCGTGCACGCTTTATGTACCGTGTGATGCAGAGTCTGCCAAGGTAAGTATGATTTTTTTGGATGACAGAGAAAGAGCTACTGTGTGTAAAAAGAAGAAAGAAAAAAAAAAAAGCAAAACACAAATAAAATGAATTTGTAGGGTACAGAGTGATATACTCCCCTGTAAACCTGTTAAGAGCATAGCACCATAGGACTTTGTTTTTTGTAAAACAATTTTTTGTAGCTATATTTTTCTTCAATGTGTTATTCCCCTTTTTGTGAATTTCTTTCAAGAAAAATGAAAAAACTGTATACCCATTCTAACATGAATGTAATACACAGAGGGTGCAAATGAGACAGGTTTGTGGAGGACCCAGTTGTTTGTAGCGTTAGCATCTCTGATAGGGAAAAGATACCTCTAAAATAAAAAATGTTCTGAATATTTTTATATCAGTAGATTTTTCATTATTTTTTTCATTGATGTAACTCCAAATTTTGAAGCGCTTTTGAAGCAGGGTCCATTGGACAATGCTAACAGTTTGTATCATGCAATTCTATCATGATCTTTAATTTGTTAGAATATTACTTAAATCTGTGTAGTCTTACATCTGTATGGAAGTCTGAATGTATCAATCTGTCACCATATAACTGAGTAAATCATGCTGAAGAGTGAGTCAATTTAAAATTCTGTAGGAACTGCATTTTTGAAGATGTTTGAGGTGGCCAATTATATACACATATGCATGCGTGTTAGCAAATCTGGGAGAGTGTACATTTACACAGAGAAATAAACACCTTCATATTAACCAAAATACTGGTACAGACTAGATGTGAAAATAATTCACATTTAGGAAGAAACAAATGGGAAAGTATTTGTCTCACCTCGCTAAAAATTCCCATTTAGGTATGATTTATTTTTCAGTTAGTATTTTAGAACTGAAGAACAGTGTGATGTCAAGGGAAGTGTGGCTTGTTTGCACTGAAGTATTTTGGTGTCAATATGAACATGGTTACATAGAGAGTATTAATTTGCATTTAACATTTCATCATTTTTCCTTTATGTAAAAATACATATAAATGAATATACATACATATCTTTTCCTATAAAATTAGTGCATGTCTTAATGCCTGCATGTCAAGGGAAAGAGATTTTCATGTGTTATATATATATATTTTAAGGGTAATTTTAGACTCATCCTAAGCATTTTTAAAAACAGTGAATAAGTATATTATGTTAAATAAGACAGAAATTTAAACTGTTTTGCTCCATATTTTCCTCAGTCTTAGAGATAGTCCAGTGCCAGTTACAATAGTGTGAGGATTTTGCCATGTTTTTTATTCTACACACATCTTCTCTTATTATAGTCTTGTTTATAATTTAATTCTTGTGTATATCCCATATTTTAGAATAATGTTTTAATATATATTATTTGCATTATACATACTTGAAAAACCTCTTAAAGTGTATACATACTTTATTCTGTTAAGCCATATTCTATATTTTTGGTTTTCTATACAGTAAATAAGGGGAAATATTTTCAAGGAAGTGTGAAATAACTAAGCTGTCCATGGATGCAACGATTTAAAAAAAAGGATTAGTGAGCATTTCTCAAATTTGTGATACTGTCATATGCTATAGTTAACTGTATGCTTCAAATAAGATTTAATTCTGCAAAATATCAATAAGCCAAATCCATTTAGTGCTTTGAGTGTATTAATAAAAGTGAAACTTGGATCCCGACTCAGTAATTTCTGCAATAGCAGGTGTCTTAGTGAAGCTGCTGCCAGGCTCCTGGCTACCCTGCTAATTGCAAAGGAGTATTTCTGGGATAACAGATTGTGTCAAACTAGTATTTGAAACGCAGGAGCTATAAAATGTCTAGCTAGCCTAGGACTTTGTGACACCGGGCTTGTATATGTTACTGCCTTGTGAGGTTACTTATGTAAATATTCGTTGATTAGTGTTTAGTTGCTGTCTGTTACAATGATACAGAAATCCAGAGAGATTTTTGCCTTTTTGTCAGAAATCCAGTGTAGCAGTGAGGTCATCTATTTCATTTAGCCCTTTCATGTTCTTGAAGTAGGTTAATATCCTTGAAACATAGTTTCAAGATGTAAACTATGAAGCATAGTCTTGTGTATGGTGGGGTTTTTGTTTGGTTTAGATTTTTATTTATTTATTTCTTGATGTCTGTAACCTGATGTGTTGACTTGGATCAGGACAATTGAGACTGGCCTCCTGAATCTTTATTTAAACATCCACTGACATGCTTTGGGTTTTGAAGTATCCCGAGCATGCAAGCAATTCCTGCAGAGCATGAATCAAACTGTTTTGAACTTTCGGAAGCCAAGTTATGTTACACAGGCATTTTACCCTCCATTTCAGAAGCATATAATGATTTCTGTAGGGACTTCCAGCTTATCATATGTATGGGGACTTAATTTCTGAAAAAAAATCTTGAATTTTCTTCAAAAGCTTGAAAGTTACATCAAATGTTTCATTAAATAAACATGAATATTTACTTAAAAGAAAGTTCTCAGTGTTAATGGGCAGAGCTGCATGCCATGCAGTGACAGTATAATCTCAGTCGCTGCCCACTGTGATGCTTGTCATGGCATTCTCGTAGATGCTTTTTAAGATCTTCAGAGCAGGGGCTTTTATATGATGCTAATAATAATGCAAACAGTAAGTGACACATCATTAGCTTCTGCTGCAAGATAATCCGAGCTGGGCCGTTCAAGTGTGATCAGAATGTGCCCCTGAAATCGTTTTAGTACTTCCACCTGATTGTATAGCAACTTCTGTGACCTGCAATTAAAACATTTTAGCTGCAGGTTATTTAAATGCCCGTAAAACATTAAAGTGGTCTGAGAAGAGATTGGGAGAGGATTGTCTGTCCGTTTTCCTCTGTTTCGTTGCCCCTTTTCTTTCCAGGCCACTTTGCCTGTCTGCTTTTGTTTGCTTTCTTATATTTAAAACATTGAGGGTTCCTAGGTTTAAATGCATAGACAGCCTGATGTAATATTTTGCTAAATGTATCTAGCATGATATGCTTAATGTTATTAACTCAGTTTCATATCTTTAGAACATAAGATTAAAATGTACAATTGCGGTGGTATAGTTATCCTTTAAGAAGTAAGTTGGTGGTATTGGTATTTTACTATAGAATGCTGTTTTTCTTTTTTTGTTTGTTTTGTTTGTTTGTTTTTTTCTCTAAGTAGAAATCTTTACTTGCCTTTTGAAGAAAACAGCCCATTTTAGAAAAGATTCACATTCCCCAACCTTGCAGTTGAGTGACTTGTGTTCCTGGAAGTCGCTGGTGGAGAGCCAGCTTGGCGTTAGGAAGTACTAGGTTCTCTGAAGGCAAATGGAGGTCTCAGCTGGGGAAAACTGCGAGACACATGCGTGTGTCCCCTGAATACAAGGGGGGAGGAAGGGAACTGCACCTGGATGTTGTTCTGCTAAAAGTCCAGAAGAGCGAGTGTGGTGGAAACAGCAGAGAACCACCCTGTAGCCCAAATAAACTGAAAACAGTAGTCTCATTTTATTTGGTTTTGCATGTATTCTGCCTTCGCAAATGAACCCTAAGCAGATGTATTTTATTCTGACATGATTTCTAGAAATACATACCGCTAAGTTCACTGGAAAAAATGAATTGGGCTCAGCAATGAGCCACAGAGTAATCCATATTATTAAATGCTTTTAAAATATTGAGCATTTGCCATTAACTCATCCCAAACCGCAGTAGATGGAATGTGTTTGTTGGAGGTCAAGAAAAAATTCCATCTGCTGCTAAAGAATTGATACACTGAGCTGTAAGATTCAAAGCATTCAGGTATTGTGTAATTAGACTGCTAATGTCTGCATGTTGCCGTTGAACGGAGATCATGTGAACAAGATCCTGCATTACTCGAACAAGTTGACATTCAAACTTTTATGACCTAGGTGGGCAATAGAGCCTAGTCCTTCTTACAGTAAGACTTCACAACGTCAAATTCTGCAGCTATTCCATAACAGTGCTAACGACTAAGCTATGCAATGTTCATTTATTTTTAAAATGTCTTAGGTGGTCTTATTCTGTTAACTTTCTGGCTGAGTTGAGGCATATTATTTTGTATTGGTTTATTTTTCCATTCAATTTAGCAGAATCCTGATTATTTATGTCTTTCCAAAGTAGTAGATAATTTGTTCTTTTATACTACAGTTTAAATAATTTTGTGTTCTAGACTTCGAACTAGCTGAGTGAATCTGGGGGGAGAATGCAGCCCTGCAGCTCTTAGCTGCACGAGCAGCTGCTTGGGGCTTGTTAGGTGAATTCTTTTTCTGAATTGCTGCTGCAGTATCTTAAGAAAACACAGCTAATGAATTCAGAGATCTGGATTCAGAATTCTCATTTCTGGAGTCAGAAAGAAAGTATAGTAGTCCAGTGGGATAACCATAAACAGTAAAAATATAATAATTACATTTAAACTCCACTCTGTCAGATTTTGTCGTAAGCTTTGTCATATGTAGTGTGATCTGACGCATTACGTAGTGTCATCAGCTGCTGCGGGGATAAGAAACAAGCCTGATCTGTTCTTTCTTTGTTTCCTCCTTTGATTTTTTTTTCTTTTATTTTTCCCCTTAAGTCTATAAGTTTAGTTTACAACCATCCCAAATAAGTTTCGTGGCTAGAAAATCAGCTATAACAAAAGAAATTATTGCAGACATTTAACTTTTAAATTACAGACTATCGGTGGTCCCTGCCAAGTCATAGTTCACACGTGGGAGACTCATCTACAACCACGATCAATAACCCCTTTAGGTATGGGCATCAACTGCATCTGTTTGAGGCATATGCATAAGATTGCTAATATGCTGCACATTGGTGTAGTGGGATTGATAACTATAGCTTTGAAATACTTAAATTTATTAACATGTTACAGGTACAAACTTTTTCTTTGCACAACATGGACCTTATTCTCAAAATAGATATGAATAAATGTCTTTAAAATGGAGCGGAGTTGAAATCTTTGCTGTAATCCTTAAAATGATGTGTTAATCTGGAATTAGCACAATTTTTTGGAAGTTTCGTTCTTTGAGACTAAGGCTCCATATTATTTTTCAGAGAAAATGGGGAGTTAAGGGTGGGGGGCATGAAGCACTACAATTTTGAAGTACAAATTCTTTACTAAATATTTAAAACAAACCTTCTTAAATTATTAGACTTCTTTGAGTGTATTGAGTAATATAAATAGCAACATGAATGGGTTTATTTGACTGATAAATTGCGAGAGGTTTAATTTCCTGGAAGAAAGGGTGACATGACAATTTGCATATAAGTTTCGAATGCTTTTCTCCACAGGGGAAAAGGTTTGAGAGGTGTTTGTTTCCTTATAAGAGTGACTGAAATAATCTTTGAATGCAGTTTGTGATTTAGATCTCTTATGCTGCTCTAGGATGGTATTTTTTTTATGCATGGTCTGTTCTGGGATATGAGAAATGTTAATTCCTACACATTTATGAGTTTACATCCATTAAATACCTTCTGGTTCATTGAAAGGGATATGTCTTTTAGAAATAATACGTTAGGCAAAAAAAAATTAGTTAATCCTAAGTAGTACCATGATAATTGCTTTTTGTAGTTGCATTTGAGTTAGATCAGTTAAGGGTTTCTGTTCTTGTAATGAAATGATTTTTTTGTAATGAAATGATTTTTTTGTAGTTGTCAGTAATTCAGAACTAGGGAAGCAGTCTACCCTGTGTTTAGACTGTCTGTAAATTTGGATAACTTGACTCCAAAAAGATTTTATTTTTCAAGTACTTAATTTTTCAAGTAACAGTGCTCATTATCTCTTTAATAATTGAATTAATGTAAGTAACACTCTATACAGAATTCTGCGATTAAAAGTGCATAATACCTTTCTAAATTATTAAACTAAAACTTAGTTTTATGATTCAAGCTGAACTTGCCTAGGATCCTTTTCATCAGTAGAATGGCTTTCTTCATGAAGTCCTTAATAAGTCACAGAAAACAGGGCACTTGAAGGCTGGATAAAAAATGCTACAAAATATCCCATTATATCAATTATTAGAAGTACAGTAAAAAAGTAGGTTTTTCGTTTTGTTTTTTTAATGACAAGCTACTAATGCTAGTCGAAACTGGTCGTTATGATACAGAATTGTTGCCTAATGGTTATTGAGATTAAAAATTTGAGGGGAGGACGGTTAATCTTATAAAAGGTGGGATTAATGGCTACAGAGGCAAATTTTTTTACATTTACACTTTGGAAAAAACATCTAATTCCTTTAGATTACTGTGACTCTTTTAATGCTGGTGAGTTTACTTAATGCCTAAAGATTTCGCATTTTAGAACTTCATGGAAAGTAAGGCTAAAAGTAGGTGCGAAATGAGTGTTTTATTGTAGGATAGATTTATGTCTAGATTTATGGACAAAATAAGCATTTTAATTGCGACTAACTTGATTGAGAAGCTTTAGCTGTGAATGTGCAGAACAAGTTTCTTGTGTGTTTGCAAGAAATTTAATGTCTTAGACACTAACAAAAAAAAATCTTACATTCTGGCAGGATGTAGATAGCAGCAAAATAGGAAAAAAAGCAACCTTTTCTCAGTTCAGATTATCTCATGTAAAATGCACATCTTATGGCACTTTATTGCATTGATTGTCTTCTTGCAGAAACTAAGAAAAACGTTAATTTTGAATAAATTTTATAGAAGGTTGCAATAATTATGCTTATTCTTTGTCAACTTCTCTTTTCCTGCTTTTTATTAGATACATTTTTAGAAACAAAGCGGGAAAAATAGAATAAATTGGCAGTAATTCCTTAAGGCATGAATACTAACTAGTTTATTTCATTCTTTCCCCTCCCTTCAATTCTAGAAAATGAAATAACTATTGATGATGGAAGCTTTGGAGTCCATAGTAAGTGAAATATATTGATCGTTAACCATATTTATTTTTAAAGCATTGGAGTGTTGCAGTTGAAAATACTTGGAAATGCTAAATTAGTTTAGGTAGAAATTATCTGTTAATTGTTGCTTTATCTGCTTATATACTTGTATTTAAAGCTAGTGCTTGTTAATCCACATTCAGACTGTACTCCTTTCTAACTAGATTATGTATGTGCAAATTTGGAAAGACAGAATGGACTGTTAGATTTCTCTTTAAAAGTAGGCATAGAAAAAGCTCTTCCTTTCGAGAAAAATATATCAGCTTATACTAAATGAACCCAATCTTACTCTTCAGTTATGCACATAACTACCAACATGTCCTGTAAATTCAGATCTCACGTTCTTGTGTGCGTGTGAGTCTCCTTAAAACTCTTTCAGCAGATATAACCCACCTCTCACTAAATGCGTAATCCCTTAACTCTAGGTTAACTCTTTCTTTTGTCATATCCCATACTTCAGTTTTCAGTTTTCTTCACATCTTCACCGAATCACACATTTTGTTGGAACTCCTGAAAACTGAGAGATCTCCTTCAGCCTCTGGTTTGGCAGCTTGTGCCTCCTGACCATCCTGCTTCTAGGCTCTCCTTACCCTGCTGATGATCTTGAGGATACTGCTCCATGTTATGTTCCCCCACTATATCTATTTATACCTCCAGCCTGGCAAGCTTACACTGCTTTACTGCTATTATTCGGAAAGAGATTATATAATGTCTGTATTTCAACAGAAACAGAGAGTCTGAAGCTGCTTATAGATCTTCAGAGCTTTGAATGTGTTTGTCCCTGTATGAGAGATCCCAGGGCAAAGGACTGTTTCCTCTACCTTGGAGGCTTACTTAGCTGTTGATATCATGGATAAAATTAATACTGGAATTAACATTCTGCTTCATACAGTTAACTCAAGAAGCTGCTGTTCTGATTTGTTTCTCTTGTAAGATGGCTTCATGTAAGAGCAAGAAAGAGGTAGTCAGCAATTACACTGTCTATAACTATCCCTAATCAAACTGTATGGATCTCCCTTTAGAAAATAAAGTTATTAATGTGTCTTTACTATTTTCTATTGTTTAATTTTTCGTAGATGGTGTAAAAACTGTGGATGCTGGCTGGCTGACATGTCAAACAGAAATAAGATTGCGCCTGCATTATTCAGAAAAACCACCTGTGTCAATATCCAAGAAGGAATTTAAAACATCAAGGTTTAGGTAAGAGCCTGTTTATCTCAATTTGCAATTTAGCTAATGTTAATTTCCAACAGCAGTGATTATTTAATTAATGTCGCTATTAATATTTTAGGTTGCAAGTATGGATGGACAACAAACTGATTTTGAGATGCATAAACACTTTGTAAAAATTTGATGATAGCATTAAATCAGTAGTATGTCTGTTTTCTATTTTATTATTAATGTAATGTCAAAAGAGTTTTCTCTGTTCCTGCAAAGGAACACAGATAGTCAAACAATTACTGCTCACTTAATAATTTTCATTTCTTACCTTTCTGATAATTGCCTTTCCAAACTATTAAAAATGTATCAAGTAGATATGATGGCACAGTTTAAATAATAGACAACAGGCTTTTCCACAAATATTTCTTCCATCTTTCTTTGTCTTGATGTCTCTTACTTCTTGGCTGGAACTGTGGAGTTCTTAAGTTGTTCTCTGCAATTGCATTCAGTGGGTTTGTTTGTTTGTTTGTTTGTTTTTCTTCCAACTTCTGCCAGAAAGCAGAATGGAAAGGCTGTTAGTAGTTAGGGAAAGGCAGAAGGAAAAGGCTACCTTCATTTATTTATTTATTTTGCTACTACTTTTTCTCCCAGAGCATACAGAGCCTGCCCATTTGAAATACGGTTAATTTTCCACGGGCATCACAGATCTTCAGTCAACATTGATATAACAAGCATTAATTGCTTGTTCCATATATACATCAGTTAGTTCTTAATTGCAGAGCTGTCTTCTGCCCTCTCTATTCTCAGTGACACTGAAGGAGTATGTGCTTAGCAGCAGCCACAGAAATTCAGTTGTTGGTCTTGATGATTACTGTTATTTTCAGTGCTTCTCATTAGCCTTTCAATGTCTTTAGAGACAGGTGTATTTGGCAGCCCAGAAATTTAGTCTGGGAGTGATTGCTGCCTCTTTGGCCCCTTTCACACACACCTAAGTTCCAGTTTCAGAAATGACTTGAACATAGCAAAATCTGACTAAAATAGGATTTAATCAAATGATAGTCCAAATTCTCTTATCAATGGTTGGAGTATGCAGTACTCTTCTGTAGATGGTGGTGGTGAGCAGATTTGTGACCTTCTGTTCTAATATTTTTTGTCTAATTCTTCAGTGTTCTTGAAGACATTTCTGCAACTTAACAATTGCTGTTTTGTATTTCTGCATGAGTAGAGTAAAATTGACTCTAGAAGGCCTAGAGGAAGATGACGATGAGGAGGAGGAAGAGGACCAAGATAAAACATCCCCTTCTTTCCCTCGGAAAATGGCAAACACTCTGGAGATCTCCTTAATAAGTAACAATGAATATAAATCTCGACACTCTCAGCCAGAATGTGGCTACGCTTTACAGCCAGATCGATGGACAGAATATACTATACAAACCATGGAGCCTGATAACTTGGAATTAAACTTTGATTTTTTTGAGGTATGTATTACTACTGTGAAATAACTTGGTCTGCTTTTTGGAGTTAAAGGAGGCAATTTCATGTTAACTTATGTTCTTGATCCTTTGGACCCTTGTGGATCAGTTAGGAGACATTTCACTATTATAGCTCTATTATATAGAAAGATTTGAGTCTTCTCTGTACAGCTCTAAAAGTTTTGTAGTTTCTGCTTATTTAGAAGTCAAAATGGACTCAAATCTTAGTGGCAGTATTGCATGCAGGTAGGTTGGTTTGATTTTTTTTGTTTTTGTTTTTTGTCCTGCAGCCAGACATAAGCTTTACTTACCCTTTTTGGATTGAAACAATGTAAATGTAAATAAGAACTAGATAAATTACAACTATTTGATCTTGATTTTCATTTGTAAATAGACATTTCTCTGCACTAACTAGTGCAAATTAAAAATGGACATTTGCAACCTTTCACTGTTAGTAATATTGCGCTCTATTATTTCCTGAGATGTTCTAAAATGTGAAATCTTTTTTAAAAGAAAACAACTTTTATGCAGAAGAAACTTCCAAGCATTCCCCTTTTGGTCCAAAAATGCTGTTAGATCACCTAATGCTAATAATTGTAAAATAGCCACATAGATCCTGAATTTAACAGCGATCAAATATGCATTATGCTTGCTAGTTGGCCTCCTCCTTCCCTGAAGATTAATACAAAGTCACAGAGTAGTTTTAAGCATATATATATATATATATATGCTTATATATAAAATATATATATATTTATATATATAAAAAAAATGCATTTAATATTTGTCCTAAATATGACATGGACCTTTCATAAGACAGAATATTGCATATATGCAGTTTTGGTCTGAAAAGCTTACTAAATCTAAGAGTTTTCAAAGACAGTTGTACATGACTTTCTAGATTTCCATCAGCAGTTTCATATTGCTAATGATAACGTGCAACATGGGGAGTAAACCAAAATTTTCGGCCTGAAACTAGTATTTTCTGTAATTCAGAGATTTGTGTGTCCATATATATCTTCCTGAGAAGCAAGGTTTCTATGAGAAAGAAGAGTTTGTTAGCGTTCTCACAAGCACATAACAGCAACCTACTCCTTTATTTTAGGAACACCTGGGTGAGAAAGTGCTACAAGGAGATGTGCTCCCAGGTCATGTGGCTTCTGCCTGCCTCCTGTCATCCACAATTGCAGAGCAGGGAAAGTGTGCTGGAACTCTGACACTTCCTATAATGAGCCGACTTTCAAGGAAGACAATCGGGAAAGTTAGAGGTATAATTAATGTGAAGAGTGTGCACTACTTCATCTGAAATCGTGTGTTTTCTGTTGACACTTGAAGCACTTGGTATTTTTCTTTTAGTGGACTACATTGTCATTAAGCCAATACAAGGATACACTTGTGATATGCAGGCCTCATATGCAAAGTATTGGAAACCAAGAACGACTCTAGATGTTGGACACAGAGGAGCTGGAAATTCTACAACTACAACTAAGTAAGTCAATTTTTATTTTAATCTGTTTTTTTTTTTTTGGTGGTGTGTTTGCTTTCTTTTGCTGACATCAATTGCAGCTGACATCAATTGCAGAAGCAGCCAGTTTCAAGTTAAAAGCTACAACTCAATCATTTAAGCCACTTGAATATTGAACTTGGATAACCTTAAAAGCAAAGATTGCAATTTGTACTTCTCTTACTTTAATGGACTTCTGTGCTGTCCTGCACCTAATAAAACCTGTTTCATTGCTGTTATTTCAGACTTGCTAAAGTTCAAGAGAATACTATCGCTTCTCTGAGGAATGCTGCTAGTCATGTATGTATGCACATTTGCACACACCCCACTATGCATGCAGTTAAAACTAGCTGACTTCTACATTTAGTTTTAGTCATTGAGTACAATAAATTTTAAATGTAGTGGTATAAAATTATGTGCAAATCAAGGAGCCACTGTGGCAATTCCCTGAGAGATATGAAGGGAAATAACAGCACAGTTTAGATTCTCATTCTTAAGTTCCTCAAAAAATAAAACCTTTTGTTGTCGTGGTTGTTACAACAAGGCCTATGATAAGACTCAATTTGAGAGATACTTGGTTCAAATACTTCAGTTCTGTGATTGAAGTACAGTTAGTTTTCTTCCTTTCGAAGATTTGAGTCACTGAAATCACTGTGGTCTATGATAAGATTGACCTAAACAAGGAAGGCAGTGAGGCATTGCAGAAGCATATTTGAAATCTGAAGCAAGTTCAGATATTGCTTATTCAGCTCTGGTTGTTGTTAGATCAACTAATAGCAACCTTTTTAATCACTTCTCTAATGTGAATTTTTACTAAATATCCTTAAAATTGTTCAAGGATGGGAGCATTCTGGACTGTTAGGTTTATTGGCTATCAGATCTGAGCACTGTACTCCCCGAGAGGTGAAGCTGAAGGCTCACTCAAAGAAGGCTCACTCACAGTTGCCAGAGTAGTTTGAACACTTTGTCTGGAGCATGCATCGTTACCCGAGAAATCTCTGTCTCATATACAGGTTGAAAAAGGTGAAAGCCACTGCTGTGAAACATTTCGGATGAGAAAGCTCATTTTTTAAAAATCTTTCTTCCTTTTAAGTTTAACAGAAAACAAGAACGCAAACCTGAAAAGGATAGGAGAGTACTGGATCTGTTCTTGCACACGTATATAACATACTACCGTTGTGTTCCTCACAGGTGAACTGAGAGGCTTCTCGGTATTTGGACTATGTCCCTAAAGCTTTGCAAATTTACAGCAAAACAAAAGCTCATTGAGCCCTCATTCGCTTACCGTGTGGTCGAGGAGGAAGAGGGGACTGTCATGTTGGCATTCCTCTGAAACAGAGTTTACAATACTTGAATTTACTTGAAGAATTACGAGATTACATAACACAATTCTGATACACATTGCTTATGGTAGCTTAAATACTCTTCCACATTTTTTTATCCAAATTTCTAATGTGTTGTTGAACTTGATTTTTACTAGTAACTCCCAGTATTGCATTCAACTTCTGGTTGATGCCCAGGGCCAGTGGGTGTTACACTTGACAACTTGTCTTCTGAGTTTACTGTGGTGCTGTGGTCCTTGTATAAAAACAGTTAATAGGGTTTTGTTTTGTTTTTTAATTCCTTGCAGGGAGCAGCATATGTTGAATTTGATGTACATCTTTCTAAAGATCACGTGCCTATTGTGTATCATGATCTCACGTGTTGCATGGCAATGAAAAAGGTAACTCAGAAATAGTTCTGGGAAATCGAAGGGGGAATTGGAAATAAATATGCAACTTAAATGTATGCAAAGATTTAATTTGTATAAAGTAGAGCAAAAAAGTTGAGCTCTTTTGATGTTGTTAACAGCAGCATTTCGTATGCCTCATTCGAGTTTTTTTAATCATACACTGTAATTACTCTTAAGGATTTTTATTTAACTTATAGTTTACAAGGAAAATGGAAGTAACTCCAACTGGTCATATACTCACAGAATACGTGCACTAACCTTTATTGAAAGTTACCATGAAAAAACATTGGAGGCTCTGATGACTTGCCTGAAAGATCAAATCCTGCTTTTACACTGGCACTGATTTAGTGTTTCTGAGTGCCTATGATCTGTCTCTTGAAAACAGAGCATCTTATTCATATTGTAATACAATGGTGATTTATATACTTATCAATAAAAGAAAAAAAAATGCATTTCATGTTACCACCTTAAAAGCATAGAGTATTTTTTATAATTTTCAATGATGCTACTTTACGTAATATTTCTTTTCAAAGAAACTGGATACTGAGCCTTCGGAACTGTTTGAGATTGCAGTCAAAGAACTCACGTTTGATCAGCTGCAGTTGTTGAAGGTATCGTGCTTTGGCTCGTACCATATGCTAGGTGTAGGATATAGACTTGGGTGTGAACCTTTCTAGATGGTGGAGGAGAGCATAAGTTGTAGGGATTGCACAAGCAGAACCAGTAGCTCATTCCAATCATGGTACTTTTGCACTCTTTAGAGCTTAGGTACAATTCATTTCTCATATTCATTGGAAAGATGGACCAATGAGCTTGCATGGGTCTGTGTGAGTATCTGTTAAAACAGAGCAGAAAAAGACTGAAAAGTAGTGGTAGGAGTTGTTTATACCTGACATGCTGGAATCTTTGTTACCAAAAATTTTCGGTCACGATGTGCATCTAGTTTTTACTGATTCCCTACTAACAAGAGAGGCCCAGGGTATGATGGCTTCCTTCTTGGAGGCACAGACGGTCGGTCCATAATTCAGCAAGATGGACTGGCTGAACTGGCTAGAATTAATTGATAGTTTTTGATTCCTTTGGATGTCACTATGGCTCCCAAAGGGAAATTCTCTGTCCTACAAAAAAGGAGGGAGTGAGACTGGGCCATTGGAGAGCCAGCTGCACTCTCCGTCCTCAGTCAAGAAAGAATCTTGGACTGGCTGGTTCAAGAATTTGTTCTTTTCACTTAGAATTTCTTGCTTTTGTCCATCTCCTGGAGAGGGAGTTTGAATGGAGTTGCAGAGTTGATCCTGTATTGACCCTGTATGTGGCTACATCAACTCTTGTCAGCTCTGTATCTGTAATTTACTAAAAACAGATTCTAGAGTCTCACCGAGGAGGAGGTTTCATGTGGAGACTTCCTCACATCTTAATGTTATGTTCTACCAAGGCTCTTCTATCCTTGAATTTGTTTTCTGAATTAAGAACATGAAGAATTTCTGAATTAATTATTGAGATTCTTTTTTTTTAAGCTTTCCTTGAAGTTTTTTAATCAAGTTTGAAAGAAAATTGTCACAGGTTCTGGGATTTCTTTCATCTTTTACAATTTTCTAAAACTCTGCTTATAAAAAAGTTTTAAACTTAAAAAGAAGAGTAATAAGGAAAATTAGTTATATTTTATATGTAATAAGACCTCTAGGGATTGAGTATTTGTTAATTTTATTCTTTTTATGCTCTTTAGCTGGCTCATGTGACTGCCATGAAAGTAAAAGATCACAATGGTATGTATTACCTGCCAAAACTTTTGAGATTTATTTGTTTATTACTGTATAATATATTCAGTGATTTTTGTGCCTTTGGAAGGCTGAGAGTTTATTCCCAAACATTTGAGGGAGTTGGTTCAATTGAGTGTCTGCTGCAGAGCTTCTTGCTGGCATGGAGAGATGTTACTGCCTTGGAAGAGGGGACAGGAGGGTTAGCAGATGCATGCAGATCTACAAATATATTTATGAATTCCTAACAAAATTATCCCCTATGTTTCCCTCCCATGCTTCTTTTAGCTGTAGCTTTTCAGCAACTCTTCATTATTGCTGATAAGAACTTGTGTAGCTGTTCTAGGATGTGTTTTTTAGTGCCATAAATCCGAGGCCATAATGAAACTTTATTTTGGGGAGAGCAAAATTGGGTGAAGTACCTTACACAACCCACCTGCCTGGGAAAAGATAAAATGAATAGTAAGCTGTGGCAGGCAAGGCCACTTCTGCTAGAGGTGCTTTAGGGTCTGAAATGGTGGGAACTGCGTGAGGCTGCTTCAAATAAACACTCTGACAAGATTTATTAACAGGGATCATTATTTTTTTTCCCCGCTGGTGAAAAAGGAATTGGCAACACCATTGCTTGGTGTATGTTGATGTCATGGGAAAGCATTAAATAATCCATAGACCTGATTCCATTTTTTTTTTTAAGTTCTTAAAAGACCTTATGATTTTTGAAAGCCTTTTTGTGTCGGGATCAGCAAAACTACTATTTCCATTTGATCCAATCTTTTATATTTTATTTCAGCGTCTTTTAAAGAAGAGGAGAACTTTGCTTTTGAGACCCAGCCATTTCCTTCTCTGCAGACAGTAAGCAGTCCATATAGAGCAATAGATGATGATTATAAAAAAATGAAAGCAGACGTTTTTCTTCCACCTTTTTACCTAGCAAGGGATATAGATCCCTTAAAGTTCCTATGCCCAGGTGTATTTTTTACTATCTCATCAGATGACTGAGTAGAGGAAGTAAATAGATTTGTTTGAACTACTGAGGTTCAATGCTTCCATCTGCTTTGATTCCCAAAATGGAATTTCCCTTTTATAAGAAAGAATACATTATGTTTTTCTCTATATATCTTCCTCATAGGGTTAAAAAATCACCTGTTCATATTTCCTTGCTTCCATATTTTCAGTAGCTGTTGGTTTTGCATTCTGTTTTGAATTCACCTTAAAGTTAATAGTTCCCTTACAACTATTTTACATATTTTTTTTCTTGTAATAGTGTTATATTCGTGGATTTCATGCAGGTTTTTTTTGTAATTTAAGATACTTTTTGCATTCAGAAAAACTTCCCAGAGAAGCACAAACCATTTCCTTTATAGGAGAACAAATAAGGAATTTCTCAAACAAATTAACCTACTCCTCTACTCCGTCAGCCAGGTTTTGTGTTTACACACATGTTGGGGTGAATTAACTTGCCACATGTACTGTGTTTTTAAAAAAAAAAAAAAAAAAAAAAGCCATCAAGATTTTATCCATTTTTTCTGTATCTTTGAACTGAAGTAGAAATGAGATAAATTTATCCTGTATTACTTGTTAAAGACTTCAACTATTTATTCTACTATTCTTCCTTTGGGGCTTAAATTCCAGTGAGTATCCCCAGTATTTATACTTACTAATAGTACTTAATTGCCCTCTTTAGCTGCGTGTTTTTTTCATAGTAATATTTTTTCAGGTCCTGGAGTCTGTTTCTGAAGATGTTGGGTTCAACATAGAAATAAAATGGATCTGCCAGCAAAGAGTAAGTAAATGTACAGGTGTGTTACTTTGTTACTTTGTTGTTCCATGCCTAAAACTTGGAATTTGACCAGGTAATCTGAGGTACAAACCAAAAGAATTATTTCGGTTGGTTGTTTTTTTTTAATTGATGTTTCTCATGACTTTCTTATTTTATTATAACCCTCTGTCTTTAAAACTGAGACTATATGGCACCAATCCTGCAAATAAATGCATAAAACATGCCTCAAGTAATAGGAAGTGTGTAAAGGTTTGAGCTTACAATGCAGTTCTAAGGATTTTTGGTAGAAGATCTGTTTTTAAAGTCAGTGAATCCCAGCAAGTTGGGCACACTGTGCATGTGAGGAGTGAGTCTGTCAGCTTGGATACATGCTGACCCCTCTCAGAGCAGTCACTTAAAGATGATTTGTGACTGCTGTTCTTTCTCTTTTATTTTTATAAATATTATCGTTGCATTTGTGTGTTAAAAATAGCAATGCAAAATAGCTGTAGTTTTAATGATGTTTTTATAGATTGCATGTGTATTTTCGGAGTTAGAAAAGGTTTCATGCAGACCTTCCCTGTCCCTTGAAAGACAAGGACCTTTCTCAGTTAATTTTGTTAAAATCAAAATTCAGCTGCACACCTTTCAAAAAACTCTTGTAGGGCTGCCAGTAGCATTTATTTGACTGAAGCAGTGACTTTTATATTCAGACTTACAAGCTGAATTCTCATTTCACATGGACTCAATGAGAGATCCTTTCTTGTTAAAATAATTTTGAGTAAGCATTAGCTTAAATGGTTGAAACTTGTCTTTTCTTTCTATAGGATGGACAGTGGGATGGCAACTTGTCAACTTATTTTGATATGAACCTCTTTGTAGATATTATTCTAAAAACTATTTTGCTAAATGCTGGAAGAAGGAGAATTATTTTTTCTTCATTTGATGCAGATATCTGTACAATGTAAGTTGAGATAAATCATGTTTTTTTTCTTTTTCTTCTTCTTTTATTAGGAAAAAATAACATTAGATCTAATTAGTTTCTAATTGAAACTAATTGCACGTTTCACTTAGACCTAAACTTAGGGTGCTAGAACAGTTGGGAACTGAAACAAGCAATGAGTCTCCTTTGCCATCTGAGTCATGCCAAAAATAAGATAGGCGAAGGAAGGCGATACTTTTGGCAAATGTATTCCTGATTGCTTTGGTCTTTCTTCTTCTGGTACCATAAAGTCCATTTATGTCATACTTAAGCACATATAAGCCTAATTTACAAACAAAATAAAGATTTTTGTTATAAGTTTTTAACCATATCTGCCTTTTAAAAGGATAGAGATGCAGAAAAAGCACAGGAGTTGAACAGGGAAACAGACAGTTGGGACATGCATGAATTAATTAACAATCTGCTGCAGTATTTCACCACAAGAAGCGATTTTAGCCCTGTTATTGAACAGCTTCATGGAAAAGATTTGACAAATGGGAGTTTGGGTGGACAACCATTTGATAAGAAACTGCCCTGATGAGGTACCATGGAAGGGTAAATGGGTCACACAAACCAAATGGCTTTAGTTGTAATGGGTTAGCTAACAAAAATGTGAAAAGAGTGCCTAATATCTCCCAAATTTTCTTCCATCTGTTGTCATTTCACACCACCGTGCTGTTATCCTTCTTGGAATATACACAAGAAAGGTTGTGTAGCTTAAACATACATTATAAACTCTTACTGTGAATGTTCATTTTACTGCAAAGTGTGTTTAAAAAGAAAATGATAGAATTGGGTAGTATGCAGAGATTTATATGAACACAAGGATGTGGATTTGAGTGCTGTGTGAACTCCAGCTTCCCTTAAACTGAGCATGTGAATCTCAAATAACAGTGGCAAAAGGAAGGGTATGTTGCATGTTTCAGCACTGCAGTACTGTCTTGTTGTCTAGGAAGCAAATGAACCCACACTAAAGGCAACAACTTAAATTTCCTGCTTTTTAACACATTGACTTTTCTTTGTCTTTTTTTTTTAACAGGATTCGGCATAAGCAAAACAAATATCCTGTATTATTTCTCACTCAAGGAGAATCTGATTTCTATCCAGAGCTTATGGATCTTAGGTCTCGCACAACTTCAATTGCTATTAGTTTTGCCCAGTTTGAAAATTTACTGGTAAGCTTACAGTTTCTGATACTACTTTGCAGTAAAATGAGTAACTGATTACTACTTGTTGTAAATAAATTATTTGTTACACTAATGCTTAAAACTACAAACAAAAAAGAACCTCAGCATTTACTAACTGCTAAAACAATGCCCATTTAATGCCCATTATTTTTTAAAAAATACAGTTCGCTCAGCTTATGATTCTTTACTTGTATTAAATTGTAAGGAACTGCAAGTTGCAGGGTGTTTAAAAATATAGAAGAAACTTGGTATTCTAAGAGATTCTCAGAAACTTATATTTTAAATCAGGCCTTTTATATTGCAGGGAATTAATGTTCACTCCGAAGACCTGCTGAGGAATCCAATGTTTATTGAACAAGCCAGAGCTAAAGACTTAGTTATTTTCTCATGGGGTGATGACGCAAATGACCCAGAGAACAGGAAGAAGTTGAAAGAATATGGTGTTCACGGCCTAATATATGACAGGTACATCACTTGGTGTTTGAAATAATAATCAGATTATTTAAGATAAAATACTGTTGTATCCTGATTCTTGCAAAATTTCACATTGCTTTTTAACTGACTGGATGCAGAATATCTTCCTTTCATCCAATAAATCAAGCTAAGTCCATAAACTAATTTGGAAAGTTCAGAAAGACTAAAACTAATGAATACACCTTTATACTCCTTCAGCTGTATAAATATATAAATATTTACTGTATAAATATGTACTTTTCAGCTTGTATAGTGATATACTTTTCAGCTATATAAAAATAACTTTTGCTTCCCCTGAGGTTAATGCAAAGTGTAAAACTTACCTAAATAGTTAAGTTAAACAGGACTGAATTTCATTCTCTAAAGAACTAGTGCATGGCATAAACATATAACATACTATTAATGTTTTAAGCTTTGTACATGATAGGGGGAGAATAGGTTTATTTAAGCACTTGGCTGAAATCTTCAGCTTTGTGCATTTATGGACAGGAATAGTTATTACAATTTAAATGAATGAATTGCACTTCACTTTTTCCCACTGCTCTGTTTAGGTGTGTTTCAAATCTGTGAGTTCAGGTGTACTCATGCTGTTTTTCCCATTAAAATCAGTTTGAAGTGATTCCCAAAGCACACTTCAGAATTAGTCACTTCAGAAAGTAGTTGCTCTCTCTGCACAATTCAAGATGGTATCAGAAGACTGTGACAAAACTTCAAACAAAAAATGTTACTGCAATTCCTTAAACCAATCAAAAAATTCCATTCTTTTATCCAAAAAGATATGAAATTAATAGTCAGAGATAGCACATGGGTTTTGTGGGACTTAATTTACTATCACAAGGCAAACGTTGAATTTGGGAAGTTATAGAAGAGAATTAGGAAAAAGCAGACTTTATGATAAATTACAAAGCATACGTAATTGGAAAAGAATTAAAAAGGCAGTTGAAAGTGTTGAATAATAGACATTTTCAAACCCTTTGTAGTAGACAAGTACTTGTCTAGGGCTTTGCTTATCTTCTGTTTACGAAACAAAGTGAGAGGTAAGTCAGCCTGTCTAGAGGTAACAAAACAAATATGTTTGCTCTTCTTACATAGGTGTAGACTTGTGGTGTTACATGTTACATTTCTCCTACAACTCAAGACCTGGGCCCCTTTAGTAGATGGAAAAATAATCTCTTGACTGACTGATGTGCAAAAGAAATGCTGCTCTCGCTCTGTCACACTCGGCCCTACCATATGCTTGGCTTGAATGATGAATCTTTAGAAAAGGGGGGCTTTTAATCAAATACTTACTACTGCATCAAGTGTTCTTGTGAAATGCCTGTTTATCTGGTGTCTACTAATGCAGTCTTTGAGAGTCTTACTACGTGCCTGTTTATCTGGTGTCTACTAATGCTTTGAGAGTCTTTGAGAGTCTTACTACTGATGGAATACATGGGCACTACTGTGATTAAAAAAAAAAAGATATAGGTGACATAAATAGTATTTCATGTGTGCGTAGTCTGCTAGGTTTCTTCTTATTTACCCTTTCATATTGCTTGGTGTGTTTAAATTGCAATATGCTGGCAGAACATCTTTTATCTCGCTGTTGCTCACAGTGCTCATATCCTTCTAGGCCCTGTGGATTTAAATGAATAAAAACTAGTAATCTTCCCACACTATTTAGAATGTCTAAATTCACAGCAGTATTCAACAATGCAATTTATATTGAGTCTTAATATAAAACCTTTAGTACGGGTATGCCCCTTTCTGCAAATTGCCTCAGGTATCTCAAAATGGACATTCTGAAATACCTGCAAGGCTTGGATGGTATTTCTAAGTGTAAAATAGCAGCAAGTTGCCTCCATTTTCAGCTGGAGCTGCAGGGGTACGAGGCAGCCTCTCCAAACATTAGGGAGGATGTAGTTAATATCAAGAATTCAGACTCTTAAAAATCAGAATGGGTACGGTGAAAGTCTTTATCTGTTAAGAGGGATGCATCCATATTTTGTGGTGTTTGGAGTTTAGAGAAGTATAAATATAGAGGGACTTTTTAAGCAGAACTCGTGGAGACTGATGAGAAAGGTGCAGGAGCACCTGCTGCTAGATCTAGAAGTGGGTATTGCAGTTATCTGTCCTATTAACATATAGCCAATATATGCAGAATTTTTGTCCTCTGGAGTGAATGTTTAAGGCCAGGTTCAGATATTTATCAAAAATTGCTGTGCCTGGTTTACACTAGAGCTTTACATGAGCCATCTTCAGAAGTGCTGTTTGTCAGAATATGTTAGGAACTAAACATTTGATTTGCACGAACTAAACATGAGATTTGGGTGAATTTGGGATTGTTGTTTGGTGTTATTATTGTTGCCAGCATGTAGTAGTTATGTCAAATACTATGAACTGTCTGAATAGAGATGATTTCTGTAAGCAATTTTTCTGAACTTTAATCACCCATGTAGAGCTGTGCAAAAACATTCTAGCTACTTGAGAAGATGGCAGAAAAACTCTGTGTCCTGAATACCAAAAAGTCGCTGATATCAAGTGTCGGGCAAAAAAAAGAGCAGGTAGGGGATCTGACTTTGTTTTGCATGGAGAAAAACTGCATCTACAGGCTGCATCTGCGAACAAGTTATCAAAGATATTAAAGGAAACATCTCACATGGGGAGAGGATTTTGGGGTTTTTGCCATCCAGTCCTTTCTCCACTTGGGCTATAGCTTATCAAACGTGCGGTAATTCAGGAAGACATGGGGTGGATAGTGCAGTTCCAGGGCAATATTCTGCTTGTATTATTATTATTATTCCGCTAGCATTCATTTCAGCATCCAAAATACCTTAACTGTTCATGTTTGAAGTGTGGCCTATAGGAAAGGTACACTCTGTTGCTGCAATATCCAGGCTTCTGTTGAGACCAAAATCCAGAAAAGTACTTTAAGTGCAGAACTGTACATCTTTTGTCCAAACTCAGTTACTCTTATGCTTAAAATATATTTTTAGTGTGATGCTCAGATTATTTGGAGGGGAAATCTTAACCTATCACTAGCTAGTATTTTTCTCTTCGATAAGTTTCAGAAACCATCTAGGAAATAGTTCTGTGTTTGAATTTACATGCTCGGTAAGAGCTATTGACCTGTGTTTCCCCACGTGCTGGGTGTATGTTAAATACCAATGTGGAGAGGGGGTGGATGCTAACTTATATTTGAATGATCATCTTTTTCTTTTTATTTGCTTTACATGAGCTGAGTTCTGTTTGCTAAGGAATATACACAGCTGCATGAAATGAAACCAGAAAGCCTCAAACATTCTTTAAACACTTCCTTAGGGCTCCATGTTGCCTTTGCAGATTCCCAGCCAAAGCTCCGTGCTCTATTAGTTTAACTAATTTTCCAAAAGTTAACACAAATTTAGTTGGCAATAAAAGCAAAAGGAATGATACTTCCAGTACTCCCGATCCTGCATTTTTCAGCCAGGCAATAGCAAGGAAAAACAGCTGGGATTGAGATTTCAGTGGGATTGGGATATCAGATTGCTGATATACACGTGTTTTCAGAGGCTGCAAAAATACATGGTAGGAGTTAAAAAACATCAGTTCTATTATGACTGCATAATCCTGGAAAGTCCTACAAAGCTTTTTTATAAAATAGATCTTAAGAATAGTATGCTGGAAGGACTTGCCAGTCTCCTTCTGGGTTTGCCTATTAATAGGAAAGTAAAGGTAGGAGCTGGTTCAAATAGTGTTCCCTGTTTTCAGTTCAGATGTAATAGATACGTTTGAGCGGGCAGTGGAGCTTGGAGGGCTGGATTTTTCCAAAATCTCAATAGAAAGGAATTGAATATCAAACCGGGATTGTAGAATTTACACTTGTTCCAGCCAAGAAGCAATGAACCCCCTGGGAACTGCTTAGCTGCTGCACTTAGACGTTCCTAAAGTGCATTGCTGTGTGAGACTGTTCCCTAGCCTAAGTGCTTGCGCTTGCACGGAGACGCCTGTAAAATGTGAGATAACTTCAGGACGGGAAGCAGAGTCTATTCTTCATCCCGGGAGGAGGAAAGTTGAGGCTTTCATGCTGTGATCACCTCTTTATCAGGCATTTTGGAGCCGTGTCCTGCCTGGGATGAGAGCAGCAGCTGCGTGTCTGCACTCCGAGCTCCTCCACTCCTCACCTCCTGTCTGAACAAGTATTTTAATTGCTTTTTGGCTGCACTGAATTGCGATTTAACTGCATTGCATGGGTTTGGATGTCTTGGGCTTCCAGCAGTGAGGAACTTGTCTCACTGGGCTGAAAAGGGCACTGCCCCTATCGTGCTGCGCTCTGTTGTTTCGGGTGCGACATTCGTGTTCCCCTTGGATATGCTATGAAATTAAGGTATGAAAGGAGGATGCAGTTAACAGCAAAACACTTTCCGGTGTGAATCATAAATGAAAGACAGGCTGAATCTACAGAAAAGACTGAGGCAGAAGCCACAATAATTTCTTGAAAACGTTTCTGGTCTCTGGTGACTTTGAAAGGAGATAAAGCAGGAGCTTTTTGATTTATTTTACAACACCAACACCTTGGCTTTAAAGGCAGCAGCTACCACAATACTGTGAAATGGCAGAAGAAACTGCAAAATTCTGGATCTTTGGGGCGGTAGAGTCCTGTAGAAAGGTTATATACAATACTGGAAGTGCTGGATTATTTGAGTTATAATTGTCTGTTAAACTGGATGCAGAAGAGGTTTGTGGATTAATTGTAGCCCAAATACTGCAGCTTTACACAAGTCAAGAAAAAAAAAATGGAAACATATAAAGAAACACTTTAAAAAAAAAAAAAAAACTAAGTTTGATGATGTTGATGATGTGTACTGATAAGCCTTGGATAAATATTTTAATACCCTTCAGATTAAAAATACAGATATATCAAGACTGAAAATACTAGAAAACAGATAAATGTCATTCTGATGTGTTCAAGCATTTTTTTCCTTACGAAGTCTCAGACATTTATGAAAAGATAGAGCATATCCATCATATATAATGGATATATATGTGTGTGTTTTATTTATATATATATATATATGTATGTTTCATAAATCTGAAACACACAGTCCAAGCACTTGATTAATTTGTTGGTATTTAAGTGATCTCCTGAAATATTCAGAGCATAAATACGATTTTTTGTAAGATGCTCTGAAAAACAGATCCTGAAAAAAAAAAATCATGATCATGAAAAATCCTGAAAAAAGATTCATGCTGATGTTATATTGGCACATAAATTCAGTGCACAGAACAAGAACTATTACTTGATACTTTTCATCCTGAGCTGCCCTTGAAAGGGTAAGTGTTATCCCCGCTTTACGTAGATGTGTGGTCGTCTGTTCAAATAATCTCCTGGGGCCTCTGAAGTTTCTTGGCATTTGAGTTTGAAGCCGGCAGCTCCGTCCTTATTTCACAGTTTTCTGCCTCAGGAAGAAGGTGATCTGCAGAATGACATTTTCAGAAGAGTAACTGCTCATGCCAGCAGCAAGCTGGCAGTGAGATGTTAACCGCTGTGAAAAAGGAAAACCATTTTATATTGCAAGGGTAGAGACAGACATTTCAAACGCTGTCCTCAGTCTCACGGTAGCTTCATGTAGTCTGCATTTCTGGGAGCTGTCAGGTTGTCTTGGTAAGTGTTTCGTTTCTTTTCTTGTTTATTCAGGATATACGACTGGAACCCTGAACAACCAAACATATTCCAGGTAGAGCAGCTGGAACGCCTAAAGCAGGAATTACCGGAGCTGAAGAGCTGTGTGTGTCCCACAGTTAGCCACTTCAAATCCATATCCCTGTGCAAATGCCGCCACAGCCGCCGGGAAGTGAAAGGTGTAGATAACTTGAACAGCATCCATGTCAACAGTGACTGAGCCGAGGCAGGGTGCTGTTCAGTATCGACCTCATACTCACCGTCGCAGCGGCGCTGTCGATGCCTTCGGGATGGTTTGTTTGGTTTCTAGTCCCTGAATAGCAATAACGGTATTCCTCCCTCCTGACAGTACTTGCTGAAAATTCAAATCCTGCAAAAATGTTCAGCCAGTTATACTTTTTGTTCCAGTTTACATAGTTTTAACTTTTCCATAATCAAGTCTCAAATTTTAAAACAGCATTGGCACCAAGTGTTTTAAAAAAACTTTATAATGCAAGCAATCTGAGGAGCAGAAGACTCAAAAACTAAATTGTAAATACTAAATTGTAGAGAAGTTACAATGATCTGATAGTGAAACTTCTGAAAATTTATCTTGGCTTTTATGTGACTTCAATACTAATATGACAACGGCAGATTAAGGGCGTGATTGTAATATATGTGTAATTAGATCTGGCCTGAGTAAATTGGTACCTCATATGCATGTATTTGCACTGACAGATCCAACTGTACAAAGCTTTGTGCCATTTTATAAATATTTATATATATTTTTAGGTAAACTGCAACGCACACGAACTCTTTTCTCCCCCTTGTTGGACATTTGGGCTGCTGCCATTGCTTTGTGATTTGCCAATTGACGGAGTGGTTCCCTGTGAAGGGTGAACCTCAAGTAGGGCTTTTTCGCTCGTCTTACCCAGAGACGTTGCTAATTGATAACTTCTAATGTTAGCAAAAGTACCAAAACACCTTCAGTGGTTAAGAATCTGTTTTGCACAGTTTAATAGACCTATTAATAGACAAAATAGGTACCATGCACAAACTTTGCAAAATGCATGCTTTAATTGTTAAGCATGAAACTTAGGTGTTTGCGAGGTCCTTACAGCTCCACGGTGCTAGTTAAGAGTGAGGGTGTGAGGACTAACTCAACTACTTCATCTTTGCCTAAAGCCACAAGCCTGTTACTCGCACACATTGGAGGAAAGGCAAAACCCTGTGGTTTGACTTAAATAATACAAGCCACTAGCTTTTGTATTTTGCAACACTTGATTTTTCAGAGCAAGAGTCACAAGTGTACCGAGTTCACATCCGGTATTTTGATATCCATCTTGACATCCGTCCTCCGTAATTTATTACAAAGTCATAGTTTAGGACTCTTACTAGGTCTATATGCATGCCCCTTCCCCTCCCGCAGTTGCAGGTCACGCCAACGCAACAGCTGTAACTTTCTACTGAAGTGTTCATGTATAATAAGAATGGAAAATATTTATTTTTTTTCTCTCGTTGTAAATGGACAAGGAAAACTGCAGCGTGTGTTATATTCTCCATGTACAGTCACAGCTAAGTAGGAGTGCTTGTGTAAAGAGTTCAGCCATTGCAAAGCGTTGCTCGGGCCTGCACCGCAGAGCGGCTTGGAACAAGCTGCCGCTTTCAACTTGTCTCGTGCATTTTAGTATTTAAGCTTTGTTTGTCCTGCACAAATAGCAGAGTAGGCGGTAGGTAGCTAGAAGTTGTCTTTTATTTAAAATAATCACAAGCATAAAGCGAATTTTAAAACGCCCTTTGGAAACGTGTGTGTTTTGTCCGGGCTCGGGGCGGGGAAGAGGCGCGTCCT